GTCACCGGTTAAACCGACCGGGTCACTGATTTTTACGAAAACCGGTCGGGTCGCGCCAGGTCACGCCGCTTCTGTAACATGACTGGTCCAATATGAAAATCGGACCGGTTCACCGGTTTCCGCGTCGACCCGGCCGGGTCGGTTCGGTTTTTATAACATTGTAATTTGTAGTTTAGAGAATGCATTATAAATTTTGAAAATGATGTTATAAATTTATTCATATTATTTCAGAATGTTATTTGTAATGTTATTTAAAATTTTTGAGAGTTTTTAATAATAAAATTATTATATGCAATTACTTGCACAAAAGGGTTGTTGTATGAATTTTTTTTGAAACTTATATGAAGATTAAATAATGCGAAATAATTGTGTATTGTATACTCCGCCCAAAAATGAGTTTATACTATACTAATTACTTTGTTGAAATTATTTAATTGTCAATAATTAATATAATTGCATCGATGTAATAAATATACTTTTGATATGAACGATAACAATGCCATAATAGAATTATTGATTGGATTGAATTATGATTAGTGGAGAAGAGATCTAGATATTTTTTTTATTTTATGAATTTTGATCTTGATAGGGCATTGCGTGTTAGCCTATAATTAATGTAGAGAACATACTTGACGTGTTTTTTAGTGGAAGAAATATGATTGATTTTATGTGATCTTGAAGTTATTGTGGAGTCAGTGATAGATAATTGCTTAGTTTTTAATGTCATGATATGAGTGTATTTTGAAATGAATTTTCTATAAGGCCTCTTTGAAAAGGATTTTGAATTCTATATCCTTTTTTTTAATATACATGGATTTTATTTTACATTAATGGTGATTTGATGAGGTAGTGACTTTCTTGAGCTATGACGAAAATAATTTATGTTAGTATACTATATTTACCACAAGGTCAATGGGAGAAAATTTCATTTTCTTGTATTGTATGTGAATAACTTAGTTGTTGAGAATATTGACTGACTCTCTAACCAAAGGATTTAGGCCCATGATAAATAGATGTGAAGAATATGGGCATTGTAAATTCCTTTGATTTAGTTGATTAGTGTAACGCCTGGCAACCTGCAAGAATCAACGACTATCCCCACACACTAACACGAGACTTTTCAGCATGCTTTGTCCTCACTCGCACACTTCCTGGGGAAACTTCCCAGGAGGTCACCCATCCCTGAATTGCTCCAAGTCAAGCACGCTTAACTGTGGAGTTCTTCCGATCCGGGCTACCGAAAAGTAGATGCATCTTGTTAGTATAGGTAGTACCAATTAATTCTTATAAGCCATTCCCAACTGTACCGTCCCATACCAGCACAGTCTCTGGAATCCTTCTCTTTCGGGTGTTGATTCGATTCATTCATGTACCCCCGTCCCTAGAAGCCTGCCAGGAGCCGCTCCTTGTCCGTGCCCTTACGCACCGGCGATCACTCCCCGCCCTCGTCAGCGCCCGGGATGTTACATGCCCACCAGCTTCCGCCTGGTTCGTCCTCGAACCACACCGTACTGGATGAGAGGCCCTGCTCTGATACCACTTGTAACGCCTGGCAACCTGCAAGAATCAATGACTATCCCCACACACTAACACGAGACTTTTCAGCATGCTTTGTCCTCACTCGCACACTTCCCGGGAAAACTTCCCAGGAGGTCACCCATCCCTGAATTGCTCCAAGTCAAGCACGCTTAACTGTGGAGTTCTTCCGATCCGGGCTACCGAAAAGTAGATGCATCTTGTTAGTATAGGTAGTACCAATTAATTCTTATAAGTCATTCTCAACTGTACCGTCCTATACCAGCACAGTCTCTGGAATCCTTCTCTTTCGGGTGTTGATTCGATTCATTCATGTACCCCCGTCCCTAGAAGCCTGCCAGGAGCCGCTCCTTGTTCGTGCCCTTACGCACCGGCGATCACTCCCCGCCCTCGTCAGCGCCCGGGATGTTACAATTAGTGGAAGTTTGAATCATTTATTATTTTCTTGTCGTTGAACCATTTATTTTGGATATAATTGATGTTTATTTAGCAGAGAAATTTTATTTTGAACAACTGATAAGGATTTGAGTTTTATTATTGTATATATTGAGTACGTGTATTTATGTTTATCAATTATGAGATATTTTGGAACTCAGTTTCGTTGGGACCACCATGCCTGTGGTTGACACCATATTGGAGTTTGAGGCATGATTTTGGAACTCAGTGTCGTTGAGATCACTATGCATGTGGTTGACACTATATTGGAGTTTGAGGCATGCTTTTGAAACTCAGTGTCGTTGGGACCACCATGCCTGTGGTTGACACTATATTGGAGTTTGAGGCATGATTTTGGTACTCAGTGTCGTTGGAATCATCATGTCTGTGGTTGACACTATATGGGAGTTTGAGACATAATGATATTGTTAGGACTACATGGCTCGTAGTTGACACCATATTTAATTATATGATGGTTTTTTTATAAACCATGGAATTTCTTTGGCTTTAAGGCATTTGAGAGAAATTTGAGAACTGACAGAGAAAATAATAGTTTGGCTGTTGTTGGATCACATTGGCATACTATTTTCTTGCTACACTCCACACTAATGTCTAGTCGACGGAGTCAAGTAACATTTGTGACCATGGAATGTCTTATATCAGTAAGGGTATAATCACCGCCTGATTCAATGTTATTTGATTTTAGTTGGATGGAGTCATATTCAGATATCACACCTTGAATCATGTGTTTTCTTAAAATGTGGTCACATTATATGAATTAGTCCTTAGACCGAGAGTTGTTTTCAAATAACTTGTTTTCCTTTTCTCTTTTAAATTAAATTTTACAATTGATTTTGTCCAAGTGGGAGAATGTTAGAAATTTTTATAATAATTGTGGGCTTCAATCAATTGTAGCTTTTCTTGTTTTAATAAAAAACGGGCTAAGTCATGATCCATATAGGGGTGCAATATAAAGCCCAGTTAATTAGTGATCCTTTTGATTTGGGCTTGGATATCTGTAAACTGAATAGTGTGGGTAATAGTGTAGGCCTAACTCATAGGCCCATGATGGGAAGGGGATTAGGATTAATAAGTTTGGCTAGGTCCCCTCTGCATTCACAGTGTGTTGGAAAACCGTCACTCTACAACTCGCCCCATCAATGGTTGTGATCAGGGAGTGATGTGAATTGCAGAGGAAGATCCTAGTCTTTCCATTGCATGAGCATTAGAGTAAACAAGAAGCCTTCAAGAAATCAAGAATCATATATTTAACAAGTAAGCCTGAATCTTTTGGTGTTCTAATTTCATAGAATCCTATTTTAAAATTTCTTACATAAGATATATTTCATCATTTATCTCAGGTTGGCATGGGGTCCACCGACTATTATTAATCAGGCTCTTAATAATCAATCAAATAATTTTTTAATTCGGTGCTATTCCATTTATAATCTGAAATTAAACTCTAAGATTAATAATACTTATAATATGAATATGCATTACTCCTCTATAAAATATCAATAACAGATTGATAAGTTTTTTTTCACTCAATCAATCATTTATTCTGTTGACTATAATAGTTTTTCAATAGATCATATGCACTGGCTAGTAACATTAATATCAAAGTATCAAAACATTTCATGAGGATATTTCATAAAAATTTCATTTTGTTTATTGCATAAACACTATTAATCAAATAATCTCAATCTCAAAATTTGTAAATTGATCGAATCTCACTTGTAAGTGAACTAAGAAATGAAAACTATTTAATTACTTATTTTATAATAAACTCAGGGTTGAGAACAATAACATAATTATTGTTAATTGGAGAATTTGATATCTTATGACAGAAATTTAACCTTATTCAAATCTCATTGATCTTTTCAATGTGAATATTAATTTATACCAATATTTTATAATGATCTAGATAAAGACTTGTCATGCGTCCTCACACACTGCCCCTTTGAATTACAGGGATAGTTTGTGCTTGGATGTTTTTAAAAATTTTATAAGTGTGTAATATTTTTTTTTTAGTATATGCAATATTAATTATTTAATTTACAATATTTAACACAAAATCTATAATTTTATATAAAAACTGCGATACTTTTTGATAAAATGCCAAAATAGATTTAACTATGTAATTAAACGCACGAATGGAAAATTGAAGTAGAGTTTGATAATTAAAGTATTAAATATATATTTGATTTTGGGAAAAGTTCACCAATGCCCCTGTGGTTTACTTCAGAATCTCTTATGTCCCCGTGATTTTTTCTTATCACATATGCCCCTGTGGTTTGTAAAAGGGTATGTTTTTTATCACATATACCCATGTGGTTTCTTTTTTTTTACAAAGCACAGGGGCATATGTGATAGGAAAAAATCACGGGTATAAATGATTCTGAAACAAACCAAGAGGCATTGATGAACTTTTTCCTTTAATTTTTATGTAATATTACTGTAGCTTATTTGTATGTACTTTTTATTTTTATCTGATTTTAATTTTTTTTTTAAATTAATCCAAAAACGTATCATGACAAACTTCGTGCATAATAAACATTTTCACTAATTTCGAAAAGAACTTATCGAAGGACAATATTATCGTTCTTGGAATGTTCCAAGTAGTTTCTCGTAGCAATAACAAGCTAGCCAGGAAACTACAAACATTAAAACAGAATCAATAAATTCAGCCTAACTTCGATTTCTAGAACTAAAAAACTAAAAAAATTTCTCCTACATATTATCCTTGTCAAATTATTGAACTACAAAAATTAATAGATAAATGCTACTAATCCATTCTTTTAAACATCCTTGCTAACATATTTTTTTATCATTGGATCACGTTTTACATTTATTCAATAATTATAAAAAAAAGTTTCTAATGTAAGACGCGATTCAATAATAATGAATATGTTAGAAAAACTGTTCAAAAGAGTGTGTGTCGTAACATTTCTCAAATGCTAGAACATCAAAATCTTCATAAAGTTTGTCTTAGGGACCGCATGTTGGAAATTAACTACGTCAATGGCGTTCTCGGTTAGAATCAAAGCCAGTAGCAATGAGCCAAGTTAAGCAGATCTATTGGAATACTCCTTAACCAATGCACCAAATAGCGAATGCCTTTCAAGCAAACGTGATGGCTTGTCAAATTCCTTTGCAAAACCTGTCAAAAAATATCAAAAACCCCACAACTTGTTATTCTAGCAATATTATTCTATATATTTCTTTCATGCAATAATTGAAGAAGTAAAATATTTAGGGCCCGTTTGGTAAGCAGTATTCTTCAGAATTCTTGGGAAATTAAATTTTTTTAAATTTTAAATTTTCAAATATTATAAAAAACTTAATGTAAAAATCATACTTTTGAAGATTGAGATTCCGGATAATTTTTTTTTTTTTTCCTCTACTAAACGCCCAATGCTGAGATGACTGAAGGGTATGTAGAGCGAGCCTTCAGCAGTGGTAAAATCGCTTCTTCTTATCGGAAGGTAACGGGTTTGAGCATGAGAAATAACTTCTTTACAAAAATACAAAGGGAAGATTTCGTACCATCGATTCTCATCTCTATCCTTGCAAATCAGTGAGCTTTCTGCACCGGGATTTTATTTCTTTGGTTTTTGGGAAAATATTGGTAATGGTAGAAGGCTAGAAGCTGCACATTATATGGCTTTTGCTTTTTTTTTTTTCAAAAGCTGTTTTTTTAAGAAAAAAAAGCACTTTTCACTCACTCTAAGTTTGTTTGGATGTCTATTTTTTTTTTTAAAAAAAAAGAAGTCACAAAAAAAGTCAAAAGTCTAATTTCTTTTAAAAGCTAAAAATTTTAACTTCTAAAAAAAGCAAAAGTCAAAAGCCAAAAGCCAAATAATTTTTTTCAAAAACTAAATAATTTTATAAAAATATAAATAGCTTTAACTTTTATAAAAAACACTTTTAAAATAAAGAAGAAATAAAAGTTAATTTTTTTTGTACTGCGAAACAAACAGGCTAAAACTCATGAACATAAATAACATGCTTATCATCATACCTGCATCTATGACCAAAACTTTGTCACAATCCATGACTGTTGGTATTCTGTGAGCAATACTGATAATTGTGCGATCTGCAAAGTCCTCTCTGATGATCTTTTGTATCACAGCATCAGTTTGCGAATCAACAGATGCTGTTGCCTCATCCATGAATAGTATTTTGGTGCTTTTTAGCATGATCCTTCCCAAGCAGAGTAGCTGCCTTTGTCCCACACTCCAATTGTCTCCACCATCAACCACTAAGAAATTGTATAGTAAACTGATGTCAGCTCACATTGTCACCAACAAAAGAATGTAAAAACATTTTATAGCAATATCAATATCTTAGGCAATTAATGCTTTTTAACCACATTGGATTAAACTACTAAAAGCAGGTTTATAAGAGGAGTTGAGACCTGAAGCCTCAAGTTTCTCAGGCTTTGCAGCCACCACTTCTTTCAGTTGGCAGCGTTCAAGGCTCTGCAGCAACAAAATTTAATAGTAAGTTATTAGTTGTGGCCTATGGGAAGCTCAAATTTAGAATCCAAGGATGCAATGCAGTATAAAAACATAGAACAAAAAACAAGCATGTAATGCAGTATATACCTTCCAGATTTCATCTTCTGAATACAATCCAAGGGGGTCAATGTTGCTTCTTACTGTTCCTTGAAAGAGGACAGGTTCTTGTGGAATAATTCCAAATCGAGACCTCAAATCATGAAGGCCCACAGTGCAAATGTTGATCCCATCAATGATTATTTTCCCAGCTGAAGGCTCAATCAACCTAAATAGAACCTGGATGAGGGTTGATTTCCCACTCCCTGTACGGCCAACAACACCAATCTTTTCTCCTCCTTTAATGTTGAGAGATATTCCCTTAAGAACTAGAGGAGTATTTGGCCTATACCGAACCTGCTCACCACCATTTCATAACAACAGATTATATATATATGTAGAAGTTACTGAATGCATGTTACCCATGATGCATTCATCAGTATTACCATCACTTATGTATGAAGTATTGATAAAAGTTCCCTTCAATTCAAATGTTTTTCTTTTGTATGCAAACTCCATGTACCATCTGTACGTCATATCTTACTTTCAACCTTTCATGCAGTCTAGTATCCTCAGATTTGAAATAACTATATTGCCCAAAAAAGTAGTTAAAAAAAGAGAGCAGATAGTGACCATCTACTTGGTGTTTGTTTAACTTGTTGAAAATTCTATCAAGTGAAGTCTCCTTTTTGAATGGTATACTATAATTTTGGTTAAATTATGCAGGTTCTCACCCCAGATTATTAATTTGTCTTGCAACTTAGCAGTTTGTGACTACTATATACCTGCAAATTATTTAACTCGATATTGCCTTGGTTGGGCCAATTCTGAGGAGGAGACTTATCAGCAATTTTCCATGGAGCTTCTGATGGAAGGTTGGTAAACTGCTTTATTCTCTCAACTGAAACCATTTTGTTCTCAACAGAACAAGTCATGGTTATGGTAAATGACAAGAGACCACTGAGAGCCAGACCATAGGACAGAGACAAACCAACATATTCTGCAACAGCAAAATTATATCAAGTGGAATAATTCTTGGTCAGTAAGATAACTTTTCTATTGAACTGGTCTTGCACCTATATTTATCTAAGTATTATACATGAATGACCATGATGTTTGGTAGAGAAGTTTCATGAAGGAAGTTATACCTGGCCTAACAATAGCACTTGGCAAAAAGATCATAAAAACAGTGGCAACGCAAAGGAAAACCACTCCGATAAAGTCCAGGCGAAAACCAAGCCATTCATTGGCTCCATTATTGTGGAAATCCATTCTAAGACTTGCATTGACCCTGTCAATATTCTCCTGACAAAATGCACCCTGCTTTCTGAAGCCACGGATTGTCATAACACCAGAAATAGTCTCTGAAAAGTGATGAATCACAGGAGCTTTTGTGATAGAATCAAGGCGAGTCAATTCCCTAGAAGATGCAAGGTAATATTTCTGCAAACCACAACAAAGAAAGTGAGTGTTCCAAAGGCCTCTGCAATAAGTGTGCACAAATATCATATGATTCACATTTACGAAAATGCAAATGCAAATCATTAGTTGAATTAATTGAATATTCTTCAATATCTGAGATTACTTGAAAAAAAATAAAAAAATCCCCATTGTGAGGGTAGTCTTTATTCCTTGTACAAAACCTTATTTTTGCATATTTACAAGGAGGCCGTTTCTTAAATTCGAACCGTGACTTTTCAATCACAAAAGAACAGCTTTAGCACTGTTCGAGGCTCGCCCTCTTTTTTGGATAATAACATTGTAAAGAGACCCCAAAAAAAAAATTCAGCAAAAGCCACCAAGAGTTTTTGGATAATAACATTGTAGAGACTAAAATTTAAGGAAGAGTAGACATATCATACCCGATACCAATTATTCAGCCAAAACAGTGGAATTAATAGGAAGACCGTTTCCCAAGCATTTTGGCATGTGACAATAAGGATGCTGGCTAGTGAGAAGTATGCAACCATGACGAAACTTACTAACATTGGAATTGATATATCAACCCAAAGTAAATCAGTAGATACCTAAACAATTCATAAGAAGAAGAAGAAGAAAAAAGATAGTAAGTCCCAAGCACTAATATTTAAAGAATATGCTATAGTTTATGTTGTTTCCTAGCAGAAATCAACATTAAAAGGAATGTTAAAACTCACACGACTCAATATTCTGCCAGAAGGAGTGGTGTCAAAGAATGACATTGGTGCACGCAAGATGCTATGAAGCATTCCAGTGAAGAAGCTTTGGGATGTCTTTAGACCCCAATATGTAAATAAGATTGCTCGGACCATCACCACAACACATGCAATAGCTGCTATGATAGCATAGACAATAATGAACGTGAAAGAAGGAATTGCAGAATCTTCTGAAGTTGCAATTGCTAGCCAGTAGTCACCAGCCAAAAAAGATATAATCCATGCTAGAGACATTGCCAGCATGAGTGCTATTCCCCACCACCCAAATGCTTCAGTGAAATAATGTTTATATACTTTGAGGTTCACACGGCCAGTTTCTCTTTCCTCATCTTCAATGAGCTTTGATGAAGCCTTATCAGATTTAGATTGATCTTGAGGCTGCTTTTCGCCTATGTTTTCCTTTTCCTTTGAAGGGAAACGAGCCAATTTTGGAGACTGGCCAGAATCATCACCAACACCTTTGTCACTCGTTTCTGCAATCTCCATAGATGATTCATGAGCAGCCACAAGTGCACCAAAATCAAGGCCAGCATTGAGAAGTTCATCATACTTTCCACTTTGCACGATTCTCCCATCTCGCATCACCTTAACGTTGGTATCAAAACAAGCAAAGGTGCTCAGTTGAAATAACTTGACTTTTTAAGGTTATTTATTGCAGAACATGTAATACGAGTTTTGAGATGGCAAATTATGCTTAATCCAAGAAAAGAAATCTTATACTAACAGGGTATGAGAAGGAAGTCAAGAATGTATAATGCATTTTCTTGAATAAATCTTATAAATTATGATAGAATACATATAAATTATGATAGAATACATATAATAACTCTTTTGAATAAGACCTACAACATCATGAGTACTATCACTATCAATAAGATAACTTAGGTGAAACTGAAATGAACCATCATTAGCAGAAAAACACATACGTTTAAGATACTTGTGAGCATACACGTACCATTATAGAGTCAACATTATGCAAGAAGTCAACTTGGTGAGTTACAAGTAAAATGGTCTTATCTTTGAGAGCTCCCATGATACATTCCTGCAACAAAATAGAGAAATTAGGAACTTCACTGTTTGTGACTACCGGTACAAATTGCGAAAGCAATGTATATATCTAAAAAGATCTAACAATTCAGCAATGTTTGTATTAGAAATGTTTTAGGAACTAGAGCTATTCAGCAATGTTTGTAACTCTGTATCTACCTTAAATATAAATGATCCTGTTTGGGCATCAACAGCACTGAATACATCATCAAGGAGATAGATGTCACAGTCTTGGTATACAGCTCTAGCTAGTTGTACACGTTGCTTCTGGCCACCACTGAGGTTAATACCCCGTTCCCCAATCTCAGTTTGGTCTCCATATTCCATCATTTCAAGATCCTTTTCCAGGCAGCATACTCTTATTACTTCCCTGTACTTCTCCCTGTTCATTGGTAAACCAAACAATATGTTTTCTTGAATGGTTGCATTTTGAATCCATGATGTCTGTGCTACATAGGCGATTGTCCCACAAACTCTGACCTATAGGATGTTTGGAAAAAAAGAAGAAAAGAATGGGAAATAATGATGACAACTGCGAACAATACAAGTAAAATCACACATAGTTGAACATTTACAAATCAATAAAACTCCTTTGAGACATCTGAAAAACACAATCACAAAGTTCTTGTACATATTGTTGAGATATATAAAACCATTAATGTAGCCTCACCCAATAGCTTAAGCTGTTGGGTTGAATTGGTTCTTTACACATATATTGAAGAGCCTCTACATCCAATTTCACCATTTAAAAGAGAAATTCAGGTATGTATTGACAGCCAATAAAGCTTCTGCTAGTTCTCATGAATACTTAAAATACCAAATTACGGTCATATAAAATGTATGAAATGTAACTTGCTAATTGATTTAGAGTCCTTATAGGCTTGGAATATTCAGGTTTAATTGGAAGAGTTTAAGAGAAGACCTATAGCTGTTTTTTTTTTTTTTTTCTTCTTCTAAATTTCTCCACCTACATACCTAAATCCATTAAAAATCCTTTGAAATCTCAATCCAATGCACTCCCCTAAGACTCGAACTAAAGACTATTAATTAACCTATAAAAACTCCATTTGAATAATGTGTTTTTTTAATTTTTTCATCTGCATAGGTAGGACTCGAACTCAAGATTATTAATTAACCTAGAACAACTCTTATGTCAGTTGTTACACGTGCTTGGTGATGAAAAAACCAATAGCTAAGAGCCTAAGACATACCCGTGTCTTGGTGACAAATCACATTTATCTTGGAGAGACGGGCATGTGTCCGAATGATACGAGGATGTGTATTAATATTAGAAAGCAACATAAAGTCTCTTTTATCCATGTTTGCATTATAAATGGTTGGGCCTTTTTAGGGCTAAAGGGAGATGATAAAGGCAGCAAATTTTGATAACAAAGAAAGGTTAAAAGGCTCTCTAGGATTAAGCGGGTTTCACCTACTTGAAAAAGGGGTTTCAATTCTGTCTATCTCTCTATTCATTGTTCTCTATGGATGTAACTACTGATGTTTACTTTAGATTTTGGTTTGTTTTTCTTATGGATGGCTATATACTAGGGTTATGGTGGATCTTGTATTTAATTTAATTCCTAATTTAAATATAGGATGTGATTTTTTTGAGATGAATGCATGGTACGATTTAATCACCCTTGACCTGAATTAGTTAATTGATTGACTAGTGACCATCTATAATTGAGCAATGAAACAATCTTGGATAGAACATATGCATGATTAAACTTTGGTTCTTATCCATCAATTGAATTAATCAATGAGGTTAATTCGTCCATTTTTGAAGTTCATGCTCCTTAAAGTATCAAATAAAGAATTTGATTGAGGAATACACAATTAATAGCACATGACCACTGATTGTGACCTATAAATTTAACCATAAACTGTAAAGAAATAGGAACTAAGTAATTGAATGCAATACCAAATGATGGTAGTTCAGTTGGTGCATGAGTGCTGAATAAATGGTGAAAGGACCTCAGTTCAATCCCCACCAATACCATCTTTGAGAGGGACATAAAATCTTAATCTCGGACTCGTCTCGCACTTGGGATTAGTCCCATAACAGGTTCAAAGAACCAAAACTTGTGGGGATACCAAGGGAGTCTACTCGGCTCAAAGAGGTAATTATGGTTGATATCCAAAAAAATAATTGAATGCAATTGAAGCTAAGCCCTAGATACTTTCGCTAGCGAATTCCCCTTGATTTGTTTAGATTCTTTCTTTAATTCGTTTCTCCATTTTTAATTTTATTTTCAATTATTGTCACTGAGCCTCTCAATTTCGGTTATCAAAATAGCATTAGAGTTTTGAGGATTTGGTACTTGCTAGTAAGTCTTCGTGGAATAATATTTGGGACTCAATTCCTGTATTACTTTTGAGTGAAAGGGTGCACTTGTCCTAGGTGTAGTTTATATGTATCAAGTCTAAACCTTCAATTAATATTGTGCATAAGCATTAGTCTATTCCCACTGAGAGCTTAGGAACATATAGGGTGCAGTGCACTATCGGTTCCTAGTAAATCCCGGTACACAAGGTTTCTCAACTTGTTGGGGTAGGGATGAGGGTCAATTGAATATAATCTTCCACTTACATTTTTGCTAAAAGACTGTTTTCCAAACTCGATTCCATGACCTTCTGATCACAAGTAATAACCTTACAGCTGCTCCAAGGCTCACCCTCCCTCCCTATTACGAGCATTTGGTGATGGATGATTTAACAATGCACAATTATGTTAACATGGAGCAAAAACAGTAATCTTCTATGCAACAAGAAGCAAGTAACATGAAGTGCACAAAGCAATGAAAATGAGTCCAAAGCAAGCATACCTTTCCTGAGATCTTGAACATTTCCCCTAACACAGAAGCCAATAAAGAAGACTTGCCTGACCCAACAGTGCCTACAACTGCAGCATGGTCCCCTTTCTTAATTTCCAACTCTTCAACTTTCAGAGCCTCATTCCCATCCTCATCATCCCAAGAGAATTTCCCATCTTTTATCTCCACAGCTATGGCACTGTCACGGTTGTCCTCTCTAGTCACTGCATTCTCATCCATTTCCTTACTAGTCATGAACTCATCCAACCTCCCCAGGGAGATCATTGCTTGAGAAATCAATATAAGAGCTTGTGGGAAGGTCCTCACTGGCTCTTGCAATATCTTGATCACTGAAGTTATTGTGAACACAGTGCCAGCATTCAGAGGAATGCCAAGAAAAGTTGCAGTTCCAAAGGTGAGAACAGTTACCATGAGTGGAGCAGTGGACAGAACTCCCATGTTAATAGCAAAATAGTACAAGAATTTCCCAATCCAACCATGCTCAGCTTCTCTAAACTGTCGAATTTTGTTACCAAAATACTCCTCCCATGCTTGGAACTTAATGACACGCATGTTGTTAAGCAACTCATTGGTTGCTTTCATCCTCAAATCACGGTTCATCATTATCCTGAACTGGAAACTGTTGCTACTCTTGGTGCGAAACAAAGTGAAGATAAACACTATGGTAGTTCCAAGCAGTGCTGCAAGCACAGACCAACCAACATAGTAATAGATGAGTGCCAATGCAGCAGCAACTTGTAATGGCATCAACCATATAGGGTGAAGCTGCAACATCAAATCTGAGAGTTGTTGAGCATCAACAGCCATGTGATTCACAACCTGGCCTGTCCCATGAGCTTGTCTAGAAGAACTTGACAATTTCAAGCCCTTCTTGTACACAGAAGTGATGATGCTGGAACGAATCAGCATGCCTAGTTTCTGAGAGTGGAAATTGAATTGGTGAACACTGAGGACTTCAACTGATTTTGCTGCAAGCAGGATCAGTATCAAAACAAGACCTTCAGAGGGAGTGCTATCCTTTCTTGAGGTGAAGTCAACAAAACTCTGGATGAGCATTGGACCAATATACATAACCGCAAGTCGAATAACTGCAAGGAAGCCAGTGAAAGCTATGTGTTTCCAGAAGCACCTAAACAAGGTAACTCCAACTGGGTGCTTGCTGTTTTCCTCTGGCTTTGGCCAATTGCTCTGGAAGAGCTCTGACATCTTTTCTGCTCGGAATTCAAGAGGAAGTGATGGAACATCTTCAAGTTTGAGGGGTGTTTTGTACCCTTTATTGAGAAGAGGATTCATCCAAAGCCACACTGTTTTGGATAACAAGGAAGCATAAGCATAAGGACTCAAAGTCCTATCCATGGAAAGCCTTTGATATGTTCTTGAGCTCTCAACTGTATCACATATTCTGATTACACGAATCCCTGATGACCCTTTGATGGCTATTATGAAAAGGAACATAGATAATGGAAGATTAACCAACGAGAATATGTCATCAATTCTCAAATTAAGATCCAACCTATGTTCATCAACAGTTACCAATCGAACAATGGCTGAAGTAGCAAACAAGCAAGCAATCACCAAGTTTGCTATCCAGTATATTCTAAGCGACAAAGGGTGCTTAGAAGCTTTGAACTTCTTCTCATGCAGCATTAGTATCACAATCACTACGTTGACTATTGCATGAGAAAAGCGAAACAGTGCCTCTATCCGTTTCCATGATGCAAGGTTACTTTGAGTGAAAGCCAAGACACTTAGAACCGTGTAAGCTATAGCCAACAGAATCGTTACCGACAAGGGTAGTTTGAACCACAAGGTAACTTTGTAGTCAGAGTCCTTCTCTTGCAAAAGGGGTTTAGAGATGGAGGAACCAGAGTTAGCATTGGAACTGAATCGAGAATATAGATTGTAAGCTGCAAAGGCTAGAAGGGAGAGCAAGAAGAAGATATCAACAGCAGAAAGAAGAACTCTCTGAGGACATGGAGATAGGAAGATAAACCTTAACCACTGAACTAAGAGTTGTGAAGAAGGTGAAGATGAATCTATAATCAAAGGGGAACATGATGGGGTAGTTAGCCACGAAGGAAAAGACATGTTGTTCAAAAGATGAAAATCATGAAATGTTATGGTGTAACCTCCTAATAAGATTTCATCCATGAAGATGGTGATGATGGAGGAAGATAATAGATGATACTCCCATGATTGAACAAAAGAGTGTTATTGGTATCTATGTTTGAAGGAGAAGCGGTGTGAACAAAGATGGAATGTGTAAATGGGAGTGTAAGGTCTGAATACATAGTGCGTGTGAAAAGAATTGTTTTTCAATTCGGCTTGCTTGTAGAGTGGTAACTTAATCTCAATAAAATAAGATCCATGTGCACCACGCTTCAAGGAACAAGAAATAGTGTGTGTGTGTGTGACTGTGACATATTGGACACGGTTAAAATAAATTATGGGCGGCACGTAACTGTGGTTGGCTGCAAAAGTTGTTTTTAACGTAGTATTTGTAACATTTAGAATCAAATCTTTGCTTTTTCAATGAGTGCTTGAAAAAAGAAAAGGGTTTACCTTTTAATTGAGTAACCCATGTTAATTTTTCAAAAGTATATAACAATAATTGGCATTTACACAGCCGCAAAAGAAATTATCTTTATATAGGAATAGATGCTCCCTGTTTGTTATTTAAAATAGGGAAATATAAGAATCATTCCTCCAACAAGGATCCGGCGTCGTATCCTGATTTTGGTTTGATTTTTTTTTAAGCGTGGGACCCACGCTTAATTTGTGTATGCAGAAAAATAGTCTTGTCATGTAACATGACAAAAAGCAAACTCTTTAAAATAAGGGTTCAATGAGTATAATATTGTATGATGTAAGAAAATTTTACTACACTCACAATAAAGAGGAGAGAGAAAGTGAAATAAGGAAAGAGAAAAAAAAACATGTGGACCCCACCTCTTAATTGTGTGTGTAGAAAAGTTTTCTTGGGTCAAGTAATATTATACTCATAAAACCCTTAAAATAAATATGGGTATTAGTGGGGTCCACACTAACTTTGTTTATGGAGACAAAATATCTTCCATTGTAGGACCAGGGTGTATTAAAAAAATAAAATAAATAAATATAGATATTAATTTTCTCATGCAAGGAGAGATATTTTGTCTCCAAAGACAAAGTTATTATGAATCTCACTACAATTAAAAAATGAGAAAAATATTTCTGCAGTTATTGTAGATAAATTATCTGCATTTAATTTCAAAATGACATCGTTTTGGAATTGAAAGATTAAAAAATTATAATTATAAACACTATAGTAACTCTGAAATAAATTAAAATTATAGAATACTATAATTTTCGTCCCAAAATGACGTCGTATTGGGCTTACTAGTACAAATAACTTATCTGCAGGAACTACAAAAAAACAAACCCTTAAAAAATATACAAGGCACATATTTTTATTAATTCGCAGGAGAAAAAATGTCTCTCTATTCTCTAACGACAGAAGAGACATTTTCCCTCGATAAATACATTTTGTGAGTGATTTTTTTTTTTTGGTACATATTTGTGAGTGAATTTTACTATGGGAAAAACATTTTTCATGTTGCATGAGAATTATTTTTTCATGTTGTGACTCTTCGATTTGTGTGTAAAATTTTCTTTTTCTTTTGCTTTTTTTAATAAGTGTGTGACCCACAACAAGTTGAGTCACAATATGATAATTCAATTCTCATGTAACATGAGAAAATCAAAGCCTTTTTACTATTTATAGATAGATCAATTGTTATTTTTTCTTCTTATTCTTTTTATTAATATTTTTTTCTCTCTCATCTCTCATCGTTATTATTGTCTATAAATGGTTAAAATTGTCTCGTATAATATGATTATGTTAAGTTATATATAAAAAGATGGGAAAAGTTATATTTATAAATTTTTTATTTATAAACTTGTACTATGAGAGTAGACTTGATTAGGAATATACTCTCGGGAGTATATAATATAATTTGTAATGGTTATAAATAAAAAATTTATAAATATAATTTATGCCTAAAAAGATTCGTTCGCACAAGACTGAAAAAAATTATGAGTTATTAACTATTTGAATTTATTGTCTAACGATCAAATGCATAAATGTCACATTTATAAAGTTCTTCAAATTATGAGTTTGCCCTTAAATTACATATATTTGCAGCTATGGATCTAGTCCTGTAAAACTGAAAGTGTTAGCATATTTGTTTATGGGTTTGAAGTTTTTTAAAGATCTCTATTTAGTAAAAAGCTGAACTGTTTTTGTTAATAAATATCATTATATAATGGAAAATTTGTTTATGCTTTTGTTACGGGAAATTTTTTTCAGCTACACATATAAAACTGGATGAGTTCTATTGTAAAGGAAAAAGAGAAAAGATTAGTGGGACCTTTTACTTTTATATGAGTGTGACAGATAAAATTTTTTTTACAGTAAAAACCAAAACATTAAACCCTTATATAATTTATGGGATTTATGCTTCTTATGTCACATAAGATGAGAATTTCTGCAACACACACATACTTAGGTGGACCCCATTGGAAAAAAGTAAATAAAAAAATTGGCACGTAAAACGATGTGAGTGTGGCATTCTTATGTTACATAAGAAGTATAAATCCCATAATTTATATATAGTGTAAAGCTTTGTTGACAGTTTAGATTAAAATTAACTTTTTTTTATATTACTTATTTATATTGAATAAAAGGTAAATCCATGTAAATTGTTACGTCGACAAAATTATTGTCACGAGAATGGTTTTTATGTTAATATTCAAACAAATCAAATTAAAATTTCGAATTAAACGAGTAATTTGGTTGAATTGAACTAATTAATTACCACGGTTTAGTTTAAACCGTGTATTACATTGGTTGGTTTGATTATGTTGTTTCTTTTTTATTTTATTAAATAAGGATATCTCCCAAAGGATTGTCATAAAAATATAACTTCAAATACTATTATAACTAAGAGATTCAATATAGAATTATTTGAATTTGGAATTCTATTAATTGGTATAATTTATTTTATAAAATAAATTAAATGATAATATGACCAATTTTTACTTGTAAGCTCATGTAGTAATTAAGTTATTTATTTTTAGGTTGTGGGACCACTGATTCTGTATTGAATTTGGACCTAATTAACAAGTGTATTGAGTAATATTATAGCGTCGTTTGACAAGTTTAAAGTCCATGATAAATGGATGACACTTTTTTTTACTTGACTTATATGCTCAGAGTCTTCATTTCTCCATGAAATAACTTTATAACCTTTGGCACCATAGGTCATCGTATATTTAAAAATATAGCAGAGATGTTTGCCGCAGGTACCCATGCATGCGGCCATGCGTAATTATATAAAATAATATTGTAATTGTAAATTAAATGCATGTTTAATGTTATAAATAAGTGCAACGATGGACACATTTACAAAGCGTGCAAGCACTGGAGCTTCTTATAATATCATTGTTTATGGTTGTAAGTGTATCTTAATATTATAATATCATTGTGTTATAATTTTAGAATGAATTGCTTATGGTGCGTGGCGTGGCTACTTTCTAATTATTTTCCCTCGTCAATGTGTACTATTCATATGTATAGAAAAATAAATTTGAATGAGAATTTTTTTGGACAATTGCTTATTTTTGTTTTAGATTCTTTTACTTGAATAATTAAGTACTACCGCGTTGAGTTATTTACATAATTAACAGAGTTAGGTGTTAAAATTAAAATTATTAAGATGTTGTTGCGAGACTTAGTAAAATTTATATAAAATCAAAACTTTTCTAGATAAATAGTAATGGTCTAAGAGATGTAAAATAATAAGGGACTCCAATTATATATTTATTGAGCTATTTCTCAAATAGGATGAACAGTTGTAAAAGAATTTGTAAAGAAGATATTCGAAATATGAAAATTAAGCTCCAAAATTTATCCAAAAAAATTAAGCTCCAAAATAATGGTTTATTCAAGAAGTCAATTGGTGGCTTTTTGAAGAACTCAACTTTTTGGTTATAAGAGAAGTCAAGAAATTAACATGACATTATCTTAGTTTTACGATGATACGGGAATATCTTTTTCAGATTAAATTTTTTTTGTTATGTTAGTGATCCGAATAAAATATAGGCCCAACCAGGGTCCAAAAACACATAAGGAAGCTCAGGCCCATTGAAGACCAGAGCAAAGCGCAAAGAACAAATATAGACGCGATGCCCTCATCGCGACACACAAACAAGACGCGATGCCTTCATCACGTCACACAAGACGCGATACCCACATCGCGTATGAAACCTTCTATAGGAAGTGTTGTAAATATTTGTTAGTTATAAATGAGATTAAACATATTGAGGTCGACCGCCATTTCATCAAAGAGAAACATGATAGCGGGTTGATTACCACTCCATACATTCTCATTGGGCGTCAATTAGCTGATCTATTGACAAAGGGACTTCCTTTAGACAGATTTCAAGAACTTACTAGCAAGCTGAGAATGATAAATATCTATTCCTCAACTTGAGGGGGAGTGTTGTAAATATTTTTATTTTATTATTATTAGTATTTGTTGTATTGGGCCAAGCCCATTAGGTCAAGTATTAGGGTTTTCATTCTCTATAAATAGAGACCTATTTGTACATATTATTTACTCAATTCAATAATATTTCAAATACCATTTTCTTTCAAGTGGAAGTAAACTTAAGGCCCAAGGCAACTCCACCGCGCCTTAACTCCAGTAAACAACGGACAACTCCAACTTGCCACAACTCTACTACTAGACACTATGGAAGATAAGGCTACTCAGGTCCCCTGACTGACCTGCAGCCCAAGGCTGGCCACTCAGAAGCCAAGCCGCCTTAACTAAGGCGGCATCTTAACTACTATATAAGCAAACGATATACCACCAAGGTACGATCATCTTTACTTAATCAACACAAAAACACCTGCCTGTATACTGACTTAAGCATCAGAGTGTCTTCGCAGGTACCCCTCATTTGGTGCAACACGCCAACGAGAAGGACAAAGCTCAAGCACGCTCCAACAGCAATATCAGGCCCAGGCCACTAACAACATAAGACCATTC